GCCCTGATTGCATAATGGTAACGCCAAATTACACAAAAGACCATATGCAACGTATGACCCATTTACATAATCAATGATATAAATAATAATAAATTCAAATCTTTTTTCACACAAAAATTTCTTTCAATAAAAAAATGACTGATGACATAAATGCAGAAAGAGTACCATTATTAGAAACACAGGAAGATCAAAATCCCGTTGATTACAAAGAACAATGTTGTTGTTGTTTATTTTCAATAACCATGATAGTATTTTTAATTATAGCAATATTTTTAAATAGTAGTCTTGCATATTCGAATTTATCAACTGACGTATCAAAGATTCCTTATGATTATAGATTAAGATATAAAACCTTTTTGGCTTATGATTTAGTTATTGAAGGTTATCCAACTGAATTTAAGAGTGATGATTCTACCAATGACAACAAAATGAATTACGGTTCTAATCAACCAGAACTCGTAAAATATGCCGAAATAATAGTTCCTTATTGGACTTATGGAAATTTTAATGTTATAGAATTTAGATATTATCCAAACGGTTCTATAATTCCTGTTTTAACTGTGAACTCTAGGATCGATGGTTATCTTACAAATGAAATAGACATTGTATTTACTGCGTCTGATAATAATTCTACTTTAGGATTAGAAGCTTGTCAATATCGAATTTCTTGGACTTGGTTGTTTAATGGTTATATTTGGAGACAATGCAAAAAAGATGATGATGATTCAGATTTCAAAAAAATTGCTTATTTTAAAGGACATGCTGCTTGGGGATTGACTTTTTTATCCGTGGATGAGAAGATAAAATATGGTTATAGTAGTGCTTCATTATTTTTTTGGAATTTGTATGCAAGGTAATATATTTTTTGAATTTCTTTTTTGAGCTTTTAAATTATGGAAAAATAATTTCACGTGGTCAAATTTAATAAACGTACTGTACTTATGTAATTTTATTCAAAATATAGGGACATATTCATTGATCCGACTGCTCCTTTTCCTCCAATCATACCTGCTCTGTATACTGCCTATTACAATTATTTGGAACGTCTCAGGCAAAGAAATAGTAATAAGCCCAAAGATCCTAAATAATATTGGATTATCTTCTTCATCATTGATTGATTGTTAAGTACGCTTTAGTCTTTTACATTTAGTTCTGTGTATATTCATATTTTTTTTTTATATAAATGTCAACTTGTAATTAAATTGTTTATGCACACATATTTAGTCGAATTTTTAATTAACAACATTTTAAATTTGCGATATTGTTGTTAATGGATTAGTGAATGTAGTTACTACAATGAATAAGACGTGGCTTCATTTTCAGCAAAAATATATATAGGTTAAAAGAAATTGATAGAATACAATAGGCTTTTTTTTATTAATACTTTAGAAATAATAAAACAATAATTGATCCGATATTCTAATTTTAAGAATAGAATTTACTAAATTGAAAACTGTGTGATGAAAATAAAGTGTATATAACACACTTATACTTTTTGAGTTATTCTAGTTTCAATTTAAGGTTTAACAATATTATTACGTTTAAATTAAAATAAGTTTAGCTTATAGTTTTAACCAAATTAAAATTCATGCTAACTAAATTTAGCAAATTTTGCAAATTTTTGCATCATGAAATTGTAATGCGAATTCATTATACGTAGAAACACACGATCATCTTTGCAACTTACAACTGACGCGCCTCAGATGACTGAAATCAAAAAATTAAGGTAATTCGACGCAAGATGCAACTGAGGCACAACACTCATTGATGTGATTGTGTGTGACTATTGATGGGAAAAATGCGCATTTTATAATTATTCTCGCTCAGATCTGTTTATTCGAAGAAGGAGTGTGCCACGCTGTGGCTCTGTTTATATATTTTATTTATACATATACATATATAGGCGCCAACATATTACATTATGAAAATAGTAATTTGCTAAAATGTTTTACGAAAGTAAGGTGAAGGGCACGGGAAATTTTTAGGCCCAGGGGGCATGCCTTGAACTGGAGGCATGCCCTTTCGTGCCCGTGCATGCCTCCGTAGATAGGATCCAACTAATCAATGCTATCGTTATATATAAGCAGTTAATACTAACCAATTCGAGCGATCTTTAAATCTAACGTTGCTTTTTCAATCTTCTGGATCAGATCATATTATCTATATTGTATATAAAATGGCAAGATTCCAGTAGCAACTAATAGGTTGTAGAGTCATTAGTAAAAAGCATTTAAAGATCTGATAAGGTATATAATTGATCTTTGGAGTACAAACTATAAAAACTCAGTAAAGAAGCACAATTTCAAGTATGAATAACATTGATTAATCAAAGTAAGCTTATATATTTTAGTTTAATATCGTAAATTCATATCTTAATTGCAATAGCATAGGTAATTTTTTACTAATTTTCGTTATAATACAATATTTGTTATAATTTCTTATATTTAATCTTATATTCTGATTGGTTAATTGAGATCGTTATATATTACATCTTTTTATTAATCATATGAGAAGGGCATGCCCAAGACCTTCGTGCCCTCCACCTAGTGATGGGCAAATCACGGTTTTCCAAAATATCCTGCGCGGGATGCGGGTTACGCGCGTGATCCGCGCGTGATGTACGGGATAGGATTACATCGTGAGTTTCTTAAAATTATGTTAATGCGGGCCGGCTGGCCTGAATTGGGGATCATATTAAAAATCCCGCGCGGGATGCGCGGGATAGGATTACATCGTGAGTTTCTTAAAATTATGTTAATGCGGGTCAGCTGGCCTGAATTGTGGATCATATTAAAAATCTCCAAATGATCATGTGCATTTTGCCCGCGTGATCCCGCGCATGCTGTAAAAGGCAAATTTGGTAACCCCGGAAGCACTCATAATCCGAGGTTACACTGACCGAAATTCTTGTTAATCTTGGGGCTACGCAAACTTACTTCGCCTCTCCGTCTCTGAAATCGCCCAGATCCCTAGAATCCCAACTATCCTGGCCGAGATCCTTAGGATCCTTAAGATCCACCAAATCTCAGAGATCCTAACCCGGATCTCCAGGATCCCCAAAATCTCTCGGATTTCTATTTTTCCTATTTTCTTTATTATCTCTGTTATCCTGTATTAATAAAAATTATGTATATAAGTGACTCAAATTTCCTTCAATAAAAAATTAACTTTGAGAGTTCAAACAAAGACTCGCATAAAGTTCAGCGACTGATAACCAATACTTCGAAATTCGAGTAGAAGTTTGGTGTCATAAATTTGTCATCGTTAAAATATCGTTATTGTTAAAATCCCGTGTTGATTTGAATTGATCAGTTTAAGGAAATCAATAATAGATCACCCCTAAATAGTTCTATTGATAAACCCGGTGATTTAACAATCTCCATTGTTGACATCAATAACCAATCGAAAAGAGGACCAAATCACGTGCCGCATAATCTATCTCGAAAGTATAAAGAACTCAAAAGACCATAACCGAAACTCCTGGAATAAAAGCCCAAGAACCCAAGGACACCTACCTAAAGAAATCCACCCTGCAATCCTAAAACCCGGACCAAATCTTCCACGACCTCTTTCAGCCTACCAACTTAGGGTTGATTGTTGGATTTGTAGTGTTTGTT